AATCTCTCTCTCTCTCTCTCTCTCTCTCTCTCTCTCTCTCTCTCTCTCTCTCTCTCTCTCTCTCTCTCTCTCTCTCGCTCGCTCGTAGTCTGTCGATGTTGAGAAGTCAGGTAGCTGGAGGGGGAGGGAGAGATGGTGGACCGGAGGAAGAAGAAGAAGAAGAACTCTCTCTCTCTCTCTTTCTCTTGGTGCTCGGTACTAACCTGTGAAGGTGGCGCCTTGCTGTAGGTACCTCGAAGACGAAGCTGGAGCGATGGCGTCACAGGTAAGTTCCCAAGGTAAGCTCCCTGGCCCCCACCACTCTCTTCCTAACGCTACTCTAAGCGCCCAGTGCTGAAGACTACTCCTATCTACTACTAATGCAGCGCTCCACAGAGTGCTGCTGCCGAATCCTGAATACTACCTCCTGAACTGCCTACTGCCTCCTGGGCGGACCAGCGATATATAGTGCTGGTCCGGCTAGGAGGCTGTTCTTGCCAATGCCGAATTGCACCAGCCCCTGGCACCCAAGTTCAAAAAAAGGTTGTCTTGAAACGGGCCTAAAATGGCCTGCGCTTATCCCTGGTCCGGCGCATAAGTTCCAGGACAGGTCGACTTTAAGAGGGCCTAAAAATGGCCCTCCTTTTTTAGGCTGAAACGACACAGGGCCTGGAGGGCCCTTACTTATCCCTTGTTCCGCCGGGTCGGGCCCTGCAGGCCCGTGTGGTGCGCAGTATGCCACCCTCTCTCTCTCTCACGGTGCATTGCTTGGAGTGGTACATAACCCAGTTCAACTCTCATGCAACTCTCTCTCTCTCTCTCTCTCTTAGTCTCTACTCTCTCTCTCTCTCACGGTGTCCAGTGTTTCTTCTTACCTATTCGGCCCTCAGTGCCCAGACTACAGTCACACAACTCCGATATAGTCCAATATCACTTATAGGACAATAATGATGATGTTGCGACCCGGAGAAGAACTCAGCAGCAGGAAACAGAGAATGTGCAGATGTCGCCCAAAAAAAAAAAAACAATAACTGACCAGGTACCTGCCCTCTCCGCCCTCCCTCTGTTTCCCTCCCTTCTATGGTCTCTTCTTCTGCTGTTATGAGGATCATAACCCTGGATACATCCGCCTCCTACTTCCACTCTATTCCTACTGCTATTATGCGGCTATGGCCGCCTGTCTTCCACAGCCTACTGGCGCTTCCCAGCAGGGCTGCTTCCTTAGCACTCAGTCACTTACTCGCAAAAATGCACAAGCATCAATAGCGCAATCTGCCTGAAACGATGCTGGCCCCTCTTCTTATTGACTTGGACAGGGCCTTGACCTCCTCTGCCTCTGCTTGACTTGGCTTGACTTAGAGTGGTACCGGTTGGCCGCAGCCTGCATGCTTTTGGAACATTGAGGCCCGGGGCCATGGGCCCATGTCGCACTTCTCAAGGTTTTGTTCTGGTCTCGAGGTGTACATGGCTCCTTGCCATCCGATCTGAAAATCTCACGGCCCTACTGGTAGTGGGACCACGTTGGAAAATACCCGAAACATAAACTAAACCCCCACTAGTGGGTCATGGCCCCCTGTACCTTCCAGAATTTTCTTTGGTGTGCTGCTGCCTTCGGGACTGTGGGACGTGACTTTCTACTGTGGGACGTGACCTTTGACTGTGGGACATGACTTTTGACTGTGACAGGGTACCGGTTGGACGTGACCTCTGCGATACCCGACTGGACCTTTGCTTTGTATGGCCGACCCGGCCTCTTTGGACTGGGGGAGTTTTTACCCTGAAGTCCAAATTTGGGGTCTGCAGCATGTAAAAGCCTTTCACAGTAGAATTGGGATGATAATGAGAAAGAAGATTAGCATGGCCCCTGCGCGGACTGAGGCTCAATTGCTAAGAACAACAAAATAAGACGGATTACTTGAGTAGTCACCATTTGAGATCCAAGATCTCTTTTTTTCTTTTTTTTTCCGTGGATCGAAGCGGATTCTACTCTGCAATTTTAGCAACTCACACCTTACTAGACTAATAGACTAGGACTCAAATAAATAGTAATCCATTAGTTGACAATTTACTTGAAGTTCTGAGAGCGGAGCAAACTGCGATTTACAAACATCAAATTGAGAATAAGCGGTAATTAAAAAAAATTCCAGA